TGGGTTGGGTCGCCGGGAGAAACCGATCGATTCAGCACAAGTCCGGGCGCCGACACTTGTGGCACTTCAATGTACCCTAGACCATGGGCAGCGCCCTGCGGCCCCACAGGCCGCAGAACCCAACGCGTCACGGGGTTCATGCAAGAGCTGACGTCCGATGGTAAATCGGGAGGTGCCCAAAAAGTCGACTTTTTGGGTACCTGCTTTGGTGGTGCTGGGTTGGGTCTAAATTCTTGGGCAATGATATCCTTTATGAGGAGGAGGGTTCAGCATTACGGAGTTCATGCAAGAGATGACGTCTGATGGTAAACCTGACTTTTTGGGTACCTGCTTTGGTGGTGAAGGGTTGGGTCTAAATTCTTGGGCAGGGAGGAGGGCTCCGCATCACGGGGTTCATGCAAGAGATGACGTCCGATGGTCAATCTGGGAAAAAAATACCGCGGTCCACCCACGCAAGGCTGGCCCAGCAGCCCCCTTCCGTGGCCTTTTGTCTCGCAGGTGTTCCCTTTGGCGACTGCGTCGCGCGAGCACGGGACAACAAGCGTACCGCATGGTTCTGTTTTCAATGCTCTCATTGGCAAGTCACCATATTTGCCGCACAGCGGCCATGCGACGACGCACGTCCGGCTCCGTCCCCATGTCATGGGCAACGCCCTTTTCACCACCGTCGACCCGGCCACCACATCCGCCCAACTGGCCTACCCCACAGAAGATATTCTACTAGGCGCGCATCCTGACACACGGCCGCCCGAGCTTGGCCGACACTGCCGCACAAGCAGCAATACAACATCCCACAACATCCCCTGCACAAGGAAAGAAAAACAGCAATAAAAATTCTCCGACCCGAGGAAAATGGGTTGGCTTTTGTCCTTGCGAACCTGGGAACCCAACACACCAGACGGAGGTCTGCGGGCAAATGCATTGGCATGTTTTTGTGAGAGCGAGGGAACCCGAAACACAAGCATGGCCGTTATGATGTTAAAGGTTGTTTGGGGTTCCCGGCTTGGCCCTGAAAATTGCTCACCCATTTTCTTGCTTTGCGCCGTCAACACAACAGTACCCTACACCATGGGCAGCGCCCTGCTCCGCCACGGGACGCAGCACACTACGCGTCCTGCGTCGCCTGCTTCTGCGGCTTGGCCGGATAGATAGTACCTGCACGGGGGGACATCGATGGACCTCGCTAGGGGAAACAGACGACCGCCCACAGACTGCGAAGCGGGTGCTACCATGACATGTGAACAACCTATAGTGGTTTCAAAACAACTATGATGTGCAGGGGCACGGACGTGTAACCTAAAAGAACAACACGGCGCCCCTTCGACAACGACAGGATTATCGTGAAAAAGCAGAGACAGTCCGGGAAAAAAACCCGCGGTCCACCCACACAGCGGCTTCACCCTTGTTGCTTCGCAGTGCTCCCTGCAAGCCACGTCCGGCTGGCAACTCCTTTTGCGGTCTCCTTGGACACACTCCAGAGCTCGCGCAAATTACCCTCGCATGGGCAACTCCCAACTCACGCTCCGCCCGCGCTAGACCCGGTCCTCGCACCCCGGCGCTCGCATTCCCTAGCTCCACTCCACACTCCACTACACATCCCTTGCGCGCCTCGTCCAGCTCCAGCAGCCGTCGGCTTCCGCCAGCCTGCCAAAACACTGCGCGCCGGCGTTTTCCGCCCACGACAACTACACCGAGCAGTTTTCCGTGGCCTGCATAAGGGGACATACATGGGCAACGCCCCCGCTGGCTGACGCGACCTAGCAAACACCATGGGCAGCGCCCTTCTCCCGCAGGAAACGCACAACACAAACACCGGCTGCCTCTCACCCGACAACTTGGGTGACAGGGGCTCTTCTCAACTCCTGCATTTGGCTCAAGGGTGCTCCAGGAAATCCTACCCTCCCCACATCCACGGCAACGTCCTTCCTCCTACCGTGGAACCACCCGCTTCCACACCCTTCCGTCCCCCCCCCCCCCCCCCGGCCTACCGCACTGCAGACATTCGGCCACGCGCGCGTGCCGCCCGCGTGTACATGGCTACGGTCTATTCCCTGGCTGGCGCGAGAAGCTCGCCATCACCTCCCCGAGCTTCCGCGCAGCTTCGTCCTGGAACCAACGCGCCACATGGCACGGACACGGGCGCCTGACAGGCATGCGAAAATCTTACCATGCAGAGCCTTTCGCGTTACCGCGGGCACTGGCCGGATCTCGTCCAGCGCAAAATCTAAACAAAGCCTAGAGCATTCCTGGGAAAATTCCAGGGCATTGGCCGGGATTAAAAACAAGTTCATCAATTTTTGAGCAAGTCAGGGAACCTACATGCAAGAGGACATGCTAGATAATTCTACAACCATGGAAGAAAATTGGGGAACTCCTACCCGGGTCCAGACAGGTAGGGGCGGTCTTGGGCTAAGGCACCGTTTCAGGCTAAGGCTAGGCTAAGGTTAAGGCTAGCTAGGCTCTATCCCTTGGGGGTCGGCGGCTGCAGGCGGTAGCCTGGTAAATCCGGGCGCCGGCCACGAAGCCCGTGTCCTCGCCGGAGGCCTTCGGTGGTAACCGAAGGTTATAGACGCTGGCCCTGGCTGCCGCCGACCCTCGGTCCCAAAACGGGGGGACGACCGGTCAACTGAAGCCCCTGTAATTTACAGTGCATCGTGTGTGTGAGGTATAAAAAACACTGTGTTTTACAGGGTTTATTGCGCATATCGAAGTACGACGGGGGGACAAGGGAAAAATGCAAAAATGCTGTGTTTTCAAGGGTGGTGTCGGTAATGCGCGCCGGGCGGACAGGCTTAATCGACATTTTGTGGGTAGAGGCCCTCCAGACGACTTACATTTCCTAACATATCCTCAACATAGGCCCAAGATAGCCAACATATCCCCAACATATGGCCAACATAGCCTCCAAGATGGCTCAACATAGGGCCAACATGGGGCCAACATAGGCCCAACCTGGGCAAACATAGGCCAACATAGGCCTAACATAGGCCGACATAGGCTCAACATAGGCTCAACATGGGCCCAAGATGTGCCCAACATAGATCACATGGGCCCAACTTGGCCCAACCTAGGGCCAAGATGCGCACCAGATAGCTTAACTTTGCTCAATATAGGGCCATCTCCGACGCGGACCAGTTTCCCACCTTGGCACCACCCAGGGCCCAGTACGCCCCCGATAGCTTAACGTGCGCCCGAACCAGCCCTACACAGACCCAAGTGGGCCGGCGCCCGGCTGTTAGGCGTAAGCCTTTAAATATTGTAATGGAATAGCAAATGACAGTACTCATGAATCAGCTAGGCAAGCAAACTGACGGTGACATCATGTTTCTCTACACCAGGTTTTTGAAATAGCTGTTTCTCAGGGGCATCAAAGTCACAGTGTTACGTCAAGCATGATGCCCAAGGCAAAGCCTGGCCCGGCGTGCAGGGGTTGTCCACTTGGGCTGTGTCAAGCTGTGACTGAGAGTTGCTGATAAGGCCTCACCAACAATGGCAACTCTGCAAGCCTTTGACTCCAACTCAGTTTGAGCACAGTGCATCGTGAGATTCACATGTTGGCCTGGCTGCATTTGAAGAATGTTCATCCTTATTCTCGGAAAGACTGCATAGCTCCCAAAAAATGTCTGCGTGTAACGACTAGCATTACACTTAGAATTCCATGCACCTTCCAGGATGCAATCTGGCAACTCAATAAGAGAACACGCGTCGAACCAACACCCTGCTGACTGGTGCTAAATGTGTTTAGTACAGCCAGGGAACGCAGCAATGCCACCTTGGACGCCCAGCCATGCCGCAATATGAGCGACACACCACAAAAAAAAATCATCATCCCCCTTCAGTGCATAATCCCGAGTACCTATTAATAAACACTCCCCAATTAAAAAAACCCCACGTCCGAACCCCTAAATTCGGTTTATATTTGGTTTTAAGTTGCCGCCCTTTCAAACCGCTACTAAACTACCAACATGGTCGATTTTGGGGGTAGTTTTTTTTATTAGGTTCCCCAAAAACAACCGTAACTGCCCACCTCTGTCCGCCCTGTCTATCCACCATGACACGCCGCGCTTACACCAGCAGGCTTTCCTTCCCCCAATGGCACGGACTCACGCAAACGCACTTGCCACCGAGGTCATGCAACACCGCATGGCACAGCGACATCACCTTTCGAAAGCTTTAGCTGTTAGTCTACCGAAGAATAACTATTCTAATGAAGGTTTTTGTAGGGGAAAAGGAAGACCCTTCGATCTGGAGCTTTTTTGCATTTTTGATACGAGTTTAATAAAGGATTTTATATAAAACTTTACGGATTTACTTTTTGGTTTTGAAGCTCTTCCCAGGTGACCCTATTTTGGACCCCCCGATTTCAGGGACCCCCTATTAAAAAAAATGCGACCGAGGTTTTTTTAATAGGGGGGGGGGGGGGGGGGGAACTTTTAGACCAAT